GTATATATTACGACCCAAAAAACCCCTAAATTTCACGATTTTTGCCATAAATATCTGGTTCTGGGAATTGCTAGCCGATCTCCGGGCATTGGCTCAAGTGTTTTTATTTTATTTGCAGTACGATATATAAGACTCACTTAGCTGGTTGTTAACAGATAATACAGAGATTGCATCGGTACCGGAACTGCGCAACTACGAATTGTTACCAGAAGACAGCGAAGAGGAAGACGGGGAATTCAGTATATTCGACGCTCTGAGCGAATTACCTCCTCCTGTAGACTACATTCCACCCAAACGGTTATCCACCGTCGAGTCAATGACATCGGTAAGTACCCGATGTTATGTAAGTATAGTAGGATAGTGGGGACAACCGGGTCAAACGGGGCAACAACTCGCCTCACGGCACCCTCTTTGTCACCATCAAGATAAGTACATACAACTTTTCCCTGTTAATAAAAGTGAAGTTTGAACATATAATCGTGGAATGGTATTCGTACTTTCCGGTGTATAGCAACTCACTTGCCTCTTCGTTGCTTCTATACAGCAAGAGAGCGGGGCATTTATCTTGAAAAGAACACGTGGATCAGGCTCCGTCTTCAGTTTAGGCAGCGAAGGCGAAGAATCAGACACAGCTACGTTGCTTCAGGTGAGTGTGATGCAGTAGCTGATGTTTTGTTTGTATGTAGCACTTCTTTATTGTTTGTATGTGGCAACACCGAACATTTCTGGGTGTTCAGATTGTTCGCGTAGGCTACTTATGTCGGGCGATGTATTATTTGTCAGTTTGACTCGAAGTGATATATCACACCAGTCCACCATGAAAGACAAATTAATCTATGTTAATAACCAAGCAACGTCTATGAATAGTCTAAAAACAAGGACAAACTAATACAAGTCCATAACCAAAGAACGTTTTTGGACAGTCTATCATCAGTGACAATTCAGTATGAGTCCACAACCAAGGATTGTTTATGGACAGTCTATCATCAGAGACAATAGAAGTCCATACCCAAAGAACGCTTATGGTCAAACTGTTATAAGAGACAATTCAATATGAGTTCACAACCAAGGAACGTTTATATACCGTCTATCCAACTCTACTTAAAAAAATGATCCTTTTGTATCCTCAGGAAATGGCGGCCTACGATTTCACACGACTAGTAACACGATACAAAGAGGCAACCCCCCGGAGTATACCAGTAATCAAAATCAAGGAACGCGATCTGGGAACAGACACTTTCTTTGGCCGTTCGTTGGAAGAAATCGTCAACAACGATATAGCCGCTGGCTGGGTGCACGGTATGTGGGTTTGGATGTGGTATCATTCGATCATGCTTCGTTGCAAACAGCCTGTGCGCTGATAGGGGATGTCGCCTCTCAACATCTGCTGCTTTCAAGTATGTCTCTAAAAAGGTTAAACACAATAGGCCTTTCTTTTTAATATATTTCATGCTGAATCACTTCCTCGTCTATAGATACGTGGCAAGTGCCATTGTTTCTCACGACTGCATTGAAATACTTGGCCAACAACGGCGGGCTACAACAAGAGGGTATCTTCAGGAAAGGCGGGTCTATACAGCGCGTGAGACAGCTCCGAAGTTTATGCAGCAAGTGCAGTGGGGATATATACGACGCACTCGTCATCAGCAATCGCGAAAAAAAAAGGTAGGGCTCAAGGTTCTCACATAATGTAGGTGGACTTAAGAAAATCTTTTTTTTAAAGGCAGGTCTATGGGTACTCACATAGAGTAAGTGGACAGAAGTATACCATTCTGAGAAAGGTAGGTCTAAGAGTTCTCACATAGAGTATGTGGACAGAATAAACTCATTTTCAAAAAGGTAGGTCTATGAGTTCTCACATAAAGTAAGTGAACAGAAGGAAACCATTTTTGGTATGCATTGTCATTTGTTTGTCTCCTGTTGTAGATGCTGCCCTGGCCTTGTGATATATTTCCATCTAGGAGTTGCTCAATTATTTCCACTGATCTCACTAATACTACAGGTTCCATTTGAACGACATAGCTACGGTTGTCAAGCAGTTTCTAAGAGAATTACCGGTGTCTCTGCTTACCTACAAGCTGTTCCCCGCCTTCGTATCTTCCCTAAGTAAGTAGAGCGGTCATATAATTGGCTATGTGAGCCTCCAACGCGCACTTTTCCGTTGGTTTGAGCAGTAATTTCTGTTCACGTTTCTATGTACGCGATGGTTTTTCTGATACGACGTCACTTTCGCTTCAAAGCAAAAGTGTTGTTGCCGACATCGAAAAACAAACAACTGACTTCGTAATTACACTATTGATCGTATGCTCATGGAATTGGAAAAACTGAAATTTTGAATGTTTCACCGCTGTAGTTGGCAAGAGGCGATTTCTCGTGACATACTAAACTACTTCAATTTGTACTACGTTTGAACACTAACACGACAATTTGATATTTCGCCTGCAACAGAACTTCCAACTGATGAAATCAGGATCGAAGCTATCAGGTTACTTTTCGTACAGCTACCCTTCTGCCATCAGCACACACTGATGAATGTTCTATCGCACCTACACCTTATCAATGAGCATTCGGTATGTGAGTCTATACGAAGGTCAAAGATTAAATTTCGGGACAACGATCCCTAGTTTTGTATTTCTATATTCGGCAATCGCATTCTAACTGTATCAGTGTCACTCAATTATACTCCTCTGCGCTACTTTACTTTCAGGATCAAAACAAAATGAGCACTCTCAACATGGCTACCTTAATGGGCCCTAACCTGGGACCACCCTTGAAAGATTCAATGAATGAAGAGGTGCGTTTCTGGAAGTTTGTTGATTGTTCAAGTTGTGCGTGTTGGTTGGTTCCATGCTATTTAGACATTTTTGCAGTCGTATCCTTGTGCGCATTACATAGCTGGTCTCACAGCAACATGAAAATGTTAGACGACTCACATGAAGCACAGTGGCGTAGAGTACTCATCAAAGCCAATTCAGTTCTGCTTCACAATGTCCTATCTCGAGTCACATTGAAACTACCGTCTGACCATCACTTCTTTTGTATATCGTGCTATCTGTAGAAACGGGGCCAGATTATTTCACTGGCCGAGTTCTTGATCACCCACCACATGGAGATTGCGATGATCCCCGACGAATACATCCAACGTTCATATACATTCAAAGCCAGTAAAAACAATGGGTCCGTCATGAGCTCATTACGGAAGAAGCTAGCGTTCACTGATCCTCTGGATGAGATGTTCAGCGGCACAAATGAGTACGACAGCGATAATAGCAATAGGAGACCGAGCATGATGTCGATGGGGGCGTCGTCGATATCTTCGTCCCTTGCGCTTACCTTGGACCTCGACAAGGTGTCGGTGGCTTTCCTGGTAGGTGACGCGAGAATCTGTAGGTTGGATTTGCCCTCTCGCGTTGTACAGTTTGAGTACATTCACTCCATCTCATGTGCTAACCTTTCTTCTGATTTGTCGCAATGGCGTGCAACGACAGACACAGGAGCCGGACAGCCGAGCTGTCGTGAGGGTCGAAGTGTCTGCGGCGAATGAGCACTTCACCAAGTCAATACTGAGTAAGTTTGCGTTCGGGGTATTCACATTTCTAAACCTTTGTGCGTATCATGATTCGCTACTTCGGATTTTCTTCCCTTATTCTCCGCATATGCCCGACACTGCAGCGTTGTCATGGAGACCGCTCAAGTGAATTTCTAGCTCATCGAGTCTCAGCATCTAAGATCCGAATGAGCGTTGCTGTGCGTACTCTGCTGGCCGCCAGCAGAGGAATTCCCGCTTCCACGAATTGTAAACGATAATATTTCGCATATACTCTTGTTTCACAGTTCGCAAGGACGCCAGCGTCAGTGCACTCATCCAATCTGCCCTCAAAGCGACCAACGAGGACTCGGCCGGCTATGCTCTCTACACATTAGGAAGCTCAGGTACGCACAACGGAGCTTACTTATACCATGTCCCCTGTTCACTCTATCAGTGTGTGCTTGCCAACGGTGAGTACTGTGAGTGCTGTGTCATCTCGCAATAATCCGGGAATGACGCCTACTCAGTTGGCTTTGGTGCAGCTACTTGTTTCTTTCGGTCGTAGTATCCCGTGCGCGCTGCTACATAGCAATAGCACTGTTTGATCTCGCCACTAGACCCGTCCACTAGCTGTTGGGTCTCCACTCATCCCTCGTTCGAGTTCAGTTCGTTGAATTATGTTAGCGGCAACCGCGTTCACTCACTCACTCAGAAGCTCTTGTGTCGTCTGCACAGGCGCGGCCACCGGACAGATTGCACCCGATGCTGATCTCTACGAACTGATACGAAACGACATGACCATCAAACTGTGTGTCATGGTGCACATACACCTGAAGCACAGCGACACCTGAGTGGATCGTGCCACAAGTGCTCACAGATATTTGTTGGTAGCACGTATATACTTTACCAGTCGCGCCAGCTGTGTGACGCTGAGAAACTTGGAGAGTCACGCATACGCCCAGAACAAGACCCAGCAAGTAACTGACACATACCCAATGTCAGTGTGGCAACCTCCGCCGATAGAAGCATAGAATGCACAAGACTATTAGACTAGCGGAGGGAACATCGCACTCGTGCATCTTAGGAGTCTAGGACAATGTTTAATGTTGAGTGTGAGTGTGACGGCACAGCTGAGGACAGACAGCTCATATCAGACAGTGTCTGACACGTGTCAAGTAATTATGAACTATACATCCGTGAAGCTTCACCCACGCTTTCTAACAGATAGGGTAGATAATGCCCTTTTGGGGTCTGACTACGACATGGCCACTCTTATGAGAATGTACTCCGCACATCAGCCTATAGTCTCATCATAGTGGAACGTATGAGTGCCAGCCAAATGCGAGGCCGATCAAGACCCCGGTGTGGATACACACATATATACCTATATCTAAATACAACCCTACCAAATACCATACTATCTGGGTATAATGGCGTCCTAATAAAAAGATATGGAATTTATTTCAATATTTGCAGTCGAATGATCTATCTTTGCTTGCCGAGTTCGTGGGCACACTTCAACGAAATACACCAGTTGGACTAGTTCGAAATATCTATTTACCACCTAGCATGACTTCGCACATGGCCCGTTCTAAGAAAGATTGTGGTGGGGGTGGTAGACATTGAAACTAGAAGATAGGGCGTGATATTCTTTTACGTCATGATTTAATTGTAATCAATGAAAACAGCTTTACTTCCACCATTGAGCAGCTGCATGTCTATCTCTACTTACTGTTTCGTCAGGTGGTATTCCGATAGTCTGTATTCCAGTACGTCGTTCAAGACTTTATCGTCCAAATACGCCTGTAACCATATGCGTGTGAAGAGCAATTTGAGTAGATGGATTGGTAGATTGCATTGCGGCACCCTGCCGGTATCATGCCGCACATTTTTATCTAGCAGTTCCATAGACGTCATGTGTGAGAAGACCCACAGCGCCTTTTCCGCACAAAATATTGGAGCTAGTGGCTCCTGATATGCGTGACAGGGCTCCACTTACCGAAAGTGTATCAAAGTATTAGCGTAATCGATGTTCACCTTCTAATGATGAAAACGGCAGATAGAATAATTCGTAAACCTACCTTCAAACGATTCAAAGGGGGCGGGTCCCCGGAGAAGAACATTTGCAATCTCATGTGGATGTTCTCCACAGTGAGAGACTCCATCTGCACCAGCATGGCTTCGATGTAGTTCCAACATGTCTGAAATTTAAATCGGGAAGACTATGAATATGCCGCTGCATATATATGACTGACTTGATCGATGAGAAAAACAACATATTCATTCTGAAGGCAGGCTCGTGATCATACGCAACAAATTAGCCGAAAACAAGCTACCACAGAATTATGAGGTCGCACATATTCCAATGCCAAAATTTATACTGAAAGAACGAGCAGAGAGCGCATGCCTCATACTTGCCGAACTGCAATATTAAATATACAACTACACACCTCCAGCTCTATCTGCATCGACTCCGCTGCATCGTCCACATCAATTTCGTCACCCATATGGAAGGCTATGGAAAGCGGTAAATAAATACGTGAAGTAAGTGATGCGGGTGATCGCTTCTTGTTTCCGAACTGTAAAAAAGTGAGGTTTGTGCCAAAAGAGTGGACAAAGATTGCGGAAAGGCTATCACAACCACACGCACGCTTCAAAGTTTTATACCAATTCGTCACGGCTGCGATCAATGTTCGTCGAGTCGACATATGCAGCACGTTACAATACCTTTACGTTGCCTTGTATCTTGAGAAGGCTTGGTTTCCTGTACCCTGTACTCCCCATGCGACACCTCCACCAGTACCCCTACCCATAGCGTACATAGCGAGAATAGAAAAATGAGATATGCCGTATCACACAAGTAGCGATCTTTGGAAGGCATTCCTTTTACTGATGCCAAGGACCACATCATTCTAATGAAGAAGGTCTATTCCAAGTATCTATTCTGCCATTGTGATAAGTCTCAGCTACTCTATACTGATAATGCATAGGTGCACCACACCGTATGCCCGCCCATAGAACCGACAGCGCACAACTACCACTTCCCCACACACTATTCCATCGATCTCACGAGAGAAAACATTCTCCAAACATATTCTACCACTCTGCTGCAGATATAGATAGCGTCTGTGCAGATCACTACACATGCAGCAGTGTTAGTGAGGATAGCTAATATACCTAGGCTTTCCCAAAATCCTATCCGCCTCCGAACTTCCTTCTGCGCAAGTCCAACCATCGTTGAGAGTTCCTCTACTGTCAGTACATCTGTAGTAGGTATAGTTACGGTTGCATGAAAATCCGACACTCCGAATACTACACTGTGCACTAAGATTTCTATATGGAGACTCTAAAGACAAATAATACGTAATGGTGAACGTTCAGTAATAAATAGCTCAGTGGTTTTTCTAACCTTTGCTTTCGAAACATAATATGATTGCCGCTTGGTCGGGCAGCACAGTTACGTCCAACTCCCACTCGTCGAATGTGAGGGATAAGTCTACCCTCCCATATCCCGGCTTGACTGCCAAACGTCTATCTTGCTTGAATTTTGAGTAACTTTCTTCGTACTCCTCCAGCCACCTGTGCGCACGTACGATCAGGCAGCTATTACATAACGCCTAAAATCGCTTTTTAATTCACATCCAAGCATAGAGATAATGTTCGCACCCGCAAAAACCCCGAAACTACATTGGACTGAGTGACACCCAGGCTCTGACAAGTGACTGGTATAACTATCATACATGCTACAGTACGACATCAACTGTATCAAGCAATAACTCACTCCACCATTCCGATTATATCGCCGTATGTGTTAATCACTTAATTTAAATACACTTAAAAGCGATTCACTACATATTTCCCCCAAATGTTCTGTTTTAAGAACCTTTACATTGCCACCCAGACAGAAATGTGAGGGCAATCTAGGTCTGCTCGTACCTGTTGACCTTCTCCGGTAGAATAAGCGTGTGATTTTTTAGTTGGGGCCAGAATAGTCGCGATATTATGGTCAGATCGACGGGTACGTCATCGGTCGTCATCAGACTTGAATCATTGTTACGCATCTCGGAATCCTAATATATAACAGCCGATGACAAGCATAAAAGATAAATTGATTGTATAAATGATATCTATTATATAACAGCCGATGACAAGCATAAAAGTTAAATTAATTGTATAAATGATATCTAATATTGATGACAAGCATAAAAGTTGAGATAATTGTATAAATGATGCTTGTCATAGTTGACAGCATGCATTAAGAATGTCGCGGTATGAGAATAATGAAGTAAGCCGACAATAGATTTGGGCCGCATGTACGGTAAAAAGAAATTTTCTCACCCGAAATAGGGTCTATGCTGCCTAAGTTGATAACGAAAAGTATAATACACGCGGAAGCTTTGGCTACAAGAAAGTTCAGGCTAGTAGAAACCAACCAACGCAGTAAGACAACTATGGAACTGTTCATGCTCTTAGATTGTCACGGGCAATACGACGTACACGGCTACCTGTATTAATAGTTCATGGACGGCCTCGTTGATTCTCCGTGAATTGTGAATGTCCTTCAGCATAACCTCGCATTGATGAAGATTTGTTTCGCCGAACCTCACCTTCAGCAACTCCAGATTTCTCCTCTGTAGGGGTTGGTGGTTTGTAGCATTGGAGGTTAGTGTTGTGTATCGACGAGCGCATAAACCCACACCGGCCAGGATGAGGGCTTGGTCATAGCTTGTTGTACACAATCCCTTTCCTGACAATTGCACTCCGCTGGTTACCCAAAAAAAATATCAAGATTTGTGCAGTCGCAAATACATGCGCGATTAAGTTACAGGGTGCACATTATGGAAGAAACAAAAGTCCAATAAAAGGTTGTCAAATGTGTATGTAGCCAGGGGTTTGTGGCGGTCGACTTCTTGTACCTCGTCGTCGATCTGGTAGTCCAGGGCATCTAACAGCCTGGCAGACAGAAGCAGCTGATATTCATTCACAAAGTGCTGTGTAGGTAAGGAAGTTACAGTACGACCAATTAACAGGCTAGGCTGAAAGATTGATTTGTTTATGTGCGGCGGATTTGCGAATCTCGCGCAACCTTCAGAGCGAAACATATGCAATGGTATATGTACACGTGTATAGGGCCCTCATAGCTACCCCACGAACTCGAACGCTCTGTACACCCAATACTACTAAGACTAATAGCTCAGCGATCGTACAATGGTCGCCAGCTACAACAAAATCTTTTCCCATAACTGCAACGCCGGAGAGCCGCAGCCGACATCTCACTCACCTCCTGGCTTCCGTAGATACCGGCAAGCATAGTCATGATATCCGCTGTCCTCGCCGTCTTCGCATCGCCCGACGCATCCATGGGCGTGGGCTGCCAGTTTTCCCAATCATCTATCTCGATATCAACGCCTTGGAGGCGTGCGTGTGTTTTAGTAGTGGGTGTGTGTGCGTCGGACAACAGTCCCTTCTTGTCATCCGTGTCCGTGAGACTTTGTACTATGCACCGGATGGTGTCTTCGCGCTGTCGGAGCGCATGCTGCACGGGTTCACACACAGCATGCACCATCTGGCTCGAGGGATCGAGTATTCGCAGGGCCTACGAAATGTGAAGAGAACAGCCCTCAAAATTAGGCAGGAGAGGTCCAATCTCGAGGTAACCTTCATAGCAGAATGTGGAACTATGGGAGTGCAGCGAGAAGCGACAGTTCGTCAGTGGCCATAGCGAATTCTAGCGCTATTGTTTTAGAGACATCTTTTACATTGATTGGTGAACTGGAAAGCGAACTCCGCCATAGTTATGGGTAATAATTTTCAGATAAGGATACACACAGGTATCATGATTGGCCAACATGTGCAATCTATTTTCAGGATTTACCTTGATGGCGTCCACGTATTGCGTGAGGATTGGGGACGTGTCTGCTCCTGGATGTAGCAGACGCATTCGTAGGCTGTATGATATGAAGAGATATAACAATCAATACTTTACCAGATACACATATCAATGGAATACTGTGATGTACTGTGTATGCTTGCAATTAGATGGCTCATGTTCATGTATACATGTGGTTGTCCCAATCTCGACATCAAAATGGCAAATATGTCTCTCAGACACGCTTAATCAATTTAGTCAGAGCACGATGAAATGAGCTTTGATGTCTGAATTGATTGTTGTTTTGCATAAGCATGCTCCACGGTCAGTGTACAGTTGGGTGACGTTGGATATACTCTACATACACATATCCGGTTGTAATGATAAATTTATATACCAGGTTGGACTCGATCAATATGTGTTATGTGCCAGGTTCTACCAGTATGTATTGAATTACAGTAATATATCTGAGATGGCAGTAGTATGTTTCTGTATCCACTACAGATGAATCATACGCCTACATACACATTTGCTGTATGTGTCTCGTACACCCATGCGTAATACAACATGCGAGTTGACGTACAAACAATACATATACGTATAGGTGCACTTCTATAAATAAGGGCTTGCACAAATCGACTTATCTGTGGATCTGGATTTGCTAAAATATGCCCATCTAGAAATAGGTTTTGAATAAGTTTCACACGGATCACAATAATCAACCACAACGTGGCACATACATTTCCCGAGCGTAGGCCACAAACTTTGAATGTTGCGCCGTCTGTTCCAGGCAAAACTGTGGTGCGAGAATATAATTATTAGTGGAATTCCTCACACATACCCAACTTAACGTCAGTACGTACTTTGAATGCTCGGCCAGGTACCGAAGTTTTGAAAGAGTTTAATATTATCGGGTAGACTGTTAAAATGTAAGAGTAGTACACGGACAACGTCTCACCTTCAGGTCTTCGAGAGCTGGCTCTGAGTCCGGTGTGGCGATGAGATCAAATATCTCTTCAGTCCTGAAAGTAAATGAATACAGGTTTTCGGTGATGTCATCCAATGAATGTATGCATTGCATTATTCAATCCATTGCCAGACCGAGCTCGTACCAGCAGAATCAGTCAATACAGATGAACGTCTGTGGGCTTGCATATTTGTCATAGATAGCATTAAACACATGTGTGGATAAAGTATACTTATCAAGTAGGTGACATACATAACTCCAATAAATTACCATAGAGCTCAATCAAACAATTTATTGTGTGAAGAACCGACGCACGAATCGAAGTGATATCATTGCACAACAGTGAGATGTACCGACGTCTTTTGTATGATAGGCCCTTTTATTCCGAGTACCAACAAATACACAATGGTGAACTACACATGTGGCTCACCTGGCATCGCATAAGGCCTTGTTTGCCAACAGCCGAACCTCCGCCCGTTTCCTCTCCATCGAGTGCGGCGGTGTTATCTTTCCAAGTAAGTCGCGACATATCGCATCCACAAAGTGGCCTATGCGTCCCAGCACAGACTCCTCTGTTATGTTGTTGTGTGAGTGATTGAAATGCAAGATTCCCGTAAAAAATATTGGAAGTGCGTATTCGTGCTAGAAGCAGAACTGTATACACCGCTGTGTGGTCGTTAATGTATGACCATCACAACACGAGCGGTCTATGAAATTAAAATCGTTCGGCTCGCCTATGAACAGTGAATAGATCATTTGAGCGCTAGCAACGATTTGTGGTCACAAGGAAGCAGTTTGCCGTTGAATTATCGTACACGTGTAGCTTCGAGGTCTGACACTGTTTTGCTCTTTCATACAAAGGTTGTGTTTCTATATATGCCATACCATAGCATCCCTTGATGAAGTCCTCGTTGATGTATGAGATCATGTACGACTTTAGCGTAGACCTGACTTGCGGGTCTAGCACTCGTTCACTTAATCCAAGTGAATTTGCCAACCGTCCAATAGAAAGGCACGCTTCGAATATTGCTGTGCTTTCTGCAGCATCATACATGACCGCATCCTCAGTGTCCAGGTTATCGCCTGAATCATACTCGTCATCGCTCCCTCTCTCTTCCCTAAGTGAAAATGAGTGGGTTGCTGTGAGTTTTCACACATCGGATGTGCTGAATTGTTGCAGCCAGCCTTTCTACGACATCAAGCACAAGCCCAAGGTCACAGCTACCATGCCCTCGTATGTAAACTGAAGCAGTTGCGCTTGGTCCATCAGTGTAGAATTCAAACCTTGTACATACCGAACTACTCTCCTGTATAGAATAGCAACAGCGGTATCGAGCACAATCGAGAATATTTTCCTCAACTTGCCAATGTCTCTATGGACCGTCACGAATGTGAGTGTGTTGTTCACTACTAATTCGCTGTCTATGCAGTCATATCTGCAAATACAGAAATATGGGGCAGTTGATCAGGGGTCGATATGATATAAGACGCGTTGGACGCACTGCCACTTTCGTATTATGCAATACACCATGACCTGCATACGATATGTGCCTTATTTACACTTAGTTAAACATTCGTGCTGTTGCGACTATGGATTATTACGGAGTGACAACGCAGTTCAAGAATGACAAGTCTGTCTATAGTCAGTTGAGCATCACTTACATTGCATTCACAGACCGGTAGAGTTGGTTCACTCCTGAGATGATATTGCTTAATCTATCCACTTCATTGTCAAATTTGAAGAGCTGTAGGTATGGAAAGATATACAGTGAGAAGAACAAGTGAGATAATCTTTACTTGACCTAAACATCCACTTCCACTATTATAATAATCTATACTTTGTGGTTCATCGTTGTGAACTTTTCCCAAGGTGTAGTCTAGGCTTTAAAGCACAAAAGTATGTAAGCACTCCACTCCAGGGAAGTACATACTTCAGCCAGTATAATATGGCCTATAGCTCGGTAAATTCCCGAGCATCTGCAACATTGAATGAGTGCATATCGGCATCGGAGATAAAAATACACTTACTGCCTGCTGTACATGCTCAAGCGTTGTATTATCGATCCGATTGGTCGATATTTCCTGTGGACCAGTTGCCCGTAGCGAGGCGTAGAACGCATCCACTTCACTTTTGATTCTATTCACGGCCGCCACTGCACAAAAGAAACGACACGTGCTAGGTGTGGGTGTTTTGTTTCCATTTCTTTAATTAGTAACTATTAATACGCCTCGGTGTGTTGCGTTCGTGTATTGTAATCCTCATATTCCGAGCGGATAATTGACTCGCACACCATGTCGAAGTAAGCGCGCTCCATCTCAAGTATCGTAAACGAAGGACCAGCCGTCGACAAAATATCACAGTGTCCATACAATCATGATATAGCTGACATGCAGGTAAAAACTGCCTTGTACATGGGCTTGCGATTCAATGTGCTACGAATTGCTCATTACTATGCTGAATTATGTATCATGAAAACTGAGAGCAAAGGCAAGTGCGACCGGTACAATGCAGACATATCTTCAGACTTGGGTTGAATAGCAAAGATGCATATACAGGTTTTCCGCATCAATCACAGCACTGGTTAGGCGCTCATACCTTCAACAAAAGCTCTGAAGTGGCCAGCCTGCCCATTTTCTGTCAACTTTAGAAGCCACCTCTGACATTCTGTACCTAATTAATCAATAAATGTATAGAGGTATTTTAAGTCAATTATACCGCACAACGGTATTTCAGTGGTATCTAATTCCTGTCCGACAGTCTATCACATCCAACATCGCGATACCAGCGGGTATAGTTGTTGCCGGGCACAGTTTTGCTTTCACTCCACGCGACCGACTCCGAATTAAAGCACTACCTTTAATTTCATCATGCTGTTCTTTGATAGCGAGATAAAGGTGCTGCCATGCCGAGTCCAGCTCTATTGTGGCTTGCTTCGTCATTGCCATCATGACATAATGGTGCTGGTGAACGTTCACAATGACATATTTACACAAATAGAACGTTCACGCAAGCAAACAACAGTAATAAACGGTCTATTCGAGCACAAACAGAAGTTTGAAAAATAAATATATATTTTACATAATGAGATTCTAAAATCTAAATGCATCAATACAATTTCCCGCCCATTTCTTCATAGCCTTCTTCTAAATTGAGCCTGATTTCTTGGCCTTTTATTATATTTTCAAAAAAAAATTACCCATCGGGGAATCGAACCCCGCCCTCAAGCGTGAGAAGCTTATATCCTAGCCGATAGACGAATGGGTAGTGACTACATACTGATAAACTTAAATAAGTAAACAGTATATTTGTCTGTAAGTTCAGCTGAGGTTCATTCAATAGATCTTACATAGCCTTCCCCACAATCGATCAACCTTGAAGGTTGACGAGACACATGCAGGTCTCCTAGTCCCTTATATTATGGATGCGGAAGTTGCACTACGGCACTACATCACTGCGGCACCCCCAATATGAATTCTAATAGCTGTGATAAAGTTAGTAAAGTGTAAACCTTTGACATTAAATTCTGACAGCATATGTTGTATTTGATGCTATGCTTTTTTGATGCTATGCTTTTCATTCATGATCTCAATTACTTGTACAATTACTTTTACAATCCAATCAAGAGACGCTTAAGAGAACTATTTTTTGGCCCAGAATGCCATTTCCGACTTTGAGCGGAAGAAAACCCAGTTCTTTTCCCAATTTCACCCCTGACAAGCTCGCCTAGCAAGCCGATCACCAGATGACGTATTAACCGATATAAATAGCACTTCATCACTCCACGCCTTGCCACAATGACAAATGAACTCCGGCAGTTTGTGATTCAAATCAAATAGTAGTCTTACAGCTGGACAAAGCAAATTACAAGTGAACCACCTTTGTGTACACATATATAATTCGAAAGCATGCACCCGTAAGGTCAATCATCACGTAGTCATATGTTTTGATTATGTTAGTACAGTAGCGGATAGATCTCTCTATGTTGAGCTCTCTGAGTGATCGATTTCACTCTAGGTGTACGTTCTTATCCATCGCATCCTATCTTATGATTTTATGCCGAGTAGCCTCATTTAATGACCGTTTTGTTCCTCATATGTAGTGCTGAATGTATAATTCGATAAGCGCCCGGGGTTCAACAAGCGAGACTTTATTAGAAAAGACATCGATAAATTATTCCTACTCGTGATACGTGTGGAAGTTTACACTACCAAGTTGGATGCATTTGCTCAGGAAACGGACTTACCATTCACCTCTCAATGGGCCTTGTATAAATCACTACTGAAATGCAATCGTTCGCACAACATGTTATAACCTTCCGATTCCGTGGAAGCCTCAAGACCGTGTTGATCAATTATGATCGTTGAAATCTAGCTATTTGTCTATTACTGTACATCGATCGGACGTACATTGACGCCCATGCAGCTCAGTCTTTCGTAATGGTATATAATTATAAGTGTCGGTCTGTGAGCGATGTGTAATTGGACTTCATCGTACCGCCGTTCTCTATAACCGTCGCCGCAGCACAGTGCGCTATCACAGAATGCCAAAATTGTACTGCCAACTCTCCCTCACTCATGGATCCACTGACTCTTCCATTTTCCCCGATTCCTGATAATTGTCACGAAATGTTGCGACTGACACTGCTCGATATTATTTGCCTAAACGGATAACATTTTGCCGACAATCTTGAATTCATTCTCGTGTAAGGGTCTGCAATTTTACAAATGGGGCTGTCATTGGTATGCTAAGTAACCGTTACTTCTGTATTCGGATTGACCGCCGGCCCTCCTTGCCGACAGTTTGGGTAACATTTACTCTATGTGTCGTGAAAAAGGTAACAATGAGTCTATTGTATGAGCTGGTTTTGTACACACCGCGCCGAGTGATATCTACACGCTTGCTTACACTTCCGTATGATCTCAAGCATCAACTGAATGTTCAATTAATGTCTCGAGAGCTACTACACACAGACAGCAGCTGGCAAATTGGCAGTGATATTCTGATACCACAAGAAATTACCAAAATTATCTCGAGAGTTTCGTATGCCATCTCTAAACAAACTCTAAACAAACAGGGGTTCGATTCAGGAGGCTACGATAATCACTTTGCCTTCGTCGTCAATGAATTTACAGGGACCTCAAAATTCAAGACAAGACAACAAAACAATATATTAGATAAAAAGTATAAATAGATTTATATACCCATTCGTCTATCGGCTAGGATATAAGCTTCTCACGCTTGAGGGCGGGGTTCGATTCCCCGATGGGTAAACTTTTTTTTCCTGGTATGTGAATTTTCCAGAGGCTTTGCATATACTTGTTGTGTAGTGATTGTAATATGGTGATTGTTGGAAAACAAATTTGATGGTCTAGAACCTAAATTTAAATTGCAGCTAGGTCGCCAAGCTTATTCGGGAAACGGTAAAGAGTGAAAATCATGTAGCGCACTCAGCTGAACTCAATTTACCATTTCGTATCCTTTGGGGTATGACCAGATATATGAAATACGAACTTTGCTTCGCAGATGGGAATAATAGGTTTCAGTTGACACTGAACGTAAGGGGCGTGAAAATGTTTAAGGATCTTCGCCAATGCATAGGTACATAAGTGTATCTCGATTGTAATACCCATGGTTGCATACATACGTCCCACCCATACCGATGTGTCACTCACAATCTTCAAGAGATTCGATAACACCTCAATGAAAGCAAAATAGGTTTCAGTTGAATAACTGCACATCATATTTATTTATTTCTATTATCGATTAAGGGTGAATACTTGTACAAACTTTTGCAACCGATGAAACCTTGGTTGTCTTTTGTATACTTTTGGATATACCAATAGCTTTCGTAGTTCGATCGCAACAACCCGGTTGAGACCGAAGTAACATCGTCACAGGCTTTCCTATATTTCGATTACGCTTGTTAGAAACAGGTCGTGAAACCATAGACATATAATCTGTCCCTATTGATGTACAACAGCTCAATACACTGAACGTAAGGGGCGTGAACATGTTTAAGGATCTTCGCCAATGCATAGGTACATAAATGTATCTCGATTGTAATACCCATGGTTGCATACATACGTCCCACCCATACCGATGTGTCACTCACAATCTTCAAGAGATTCGATAACACCTCAATGAAAGCAAAATAGAAATCGGTTCACATTGTGACTCGTTACCCTACACTTGCATATTCGCCTCGAAAACAATGATATGAGAATGAGCCTATAGTTAGTCACGATGGCCACCAAATGATAACCCGACCGTTCGATGATCTCAAATTTCTAGGGAATCCCGCTCTTCAATATACTACAGTGTGGTTTGGTTTTCGTCTTGTAATTAGCGTCGGCAGCAACACTGTACTGTCGCCACTGATCCGAATTCAAGCTACTAGATGATGTTAGCTCCCGATGATAGAGTCAACCGAATTTCAACATATAATCAAGCTTATCACCTTAGTCATTATAGTAAAGCTCGTCGCCCTTAACATCACGAACAATAGTCAACTGCTTTCTTAGTTTTCAAATATACTAAAGCTGTGTCACAAACTCGATCGATCGTCCAACCAGAAGAAGACGAATGTGTCAAGAGAAAAGTACCATATAGGGCGCCAGAGGACATATTAATGTTTTGTTGGAATCATTATACTATCACCACGAGATCCGAACAATATTTTGAAGGTCGTCATTTGATAATGCATTTTCGTACCGGTTGATATGCATTTAGAAATTAGCCTACGAAGCTTTCGGGTTATGATGCTTTCAGGTCTACATGTGACCACGTTCTAGTGGTGAGCAACACATAGTACGGGATGGATTCGAAGCCTGTTGTACTGATTTGCAAATATAAGTAGAATAATATACCAAGTGCTCTAAAACTCCGCCGCGATCACTGACACTAAATAAAAACCATCCAAAAACACTGTAGATACAGACGCGCCATGAAATGAATTCATTGGTTAAGAGACTCCCAGTTACATCCTTAAGAAGCAATTACAAGCCAACTTTGGTGTTATTCCTCTGACAGTAATACACTCAGAGCCACTAATAACTTCAATTGAATATTGATATACGACGCGGTCCCGAGTGCATAAAATGAACAGTTATAAGAGCACTTCCAATATGAAAACCACAGTATCGGTTTATCTACGAAATGAAAATGTATACTTAGAATTTTAATCGTGTAATTTGTATCATTGAATACTGTCTGCACGACAATTAATAGAACGTACTAGCTGTCCTAAAACTTCTACATTGTCACAAGGATGGGTATATATTGTATCAGTATATAAAAATTATGCGAATGACTTTAGTTTATTTATAAGATTTCACATTACATCTTTAAGAAACAAACATCAATAAACTTCTGCAGTATTTATTCTACTCTATACACTAAAAGTCCCTGTACTACTTTTACCTGGGCTCGAGGCAAAATAGGGGCCTCAAAAACGTTCCGACTGCTACAGTTCAACAACAAAACCGACAAGGAATTTAACCCTCGTATACTGTTTGCGCGATGCTCGACAGATATAAACAGCTAACTAATTTTGAGAATATCTAACATTCACGCGATAATGAACGGATATTCTCAGAATATAATATTACCATCCTGATGAACGCCTATAGCTCCGTGTAAAAAAGCATAGAAAACGCTATATTGTTCCGGAACATGCAAACGATTTAATCTGGAATTGTAGTACGTGTTCAAAACAAGCATGTGTAAGGACATGCATTGCCCCCAGATAATGTGGTTACTTTTGTTAAAACCATGTACACGACCTTAAAATCCAGAAAATGTGTACGGTAAGAAATTTAGACACATTTACACATATGCCTAGTAGAGGAAGTATGTATCTGGAAAAAGTAAATGCATTCATTGAGAAATTATTTCGTCATGCTGCACAAGTTGTTTGCGTTTGGAAAATAGATGAACCCCAGTTCGAAAATCATACGCGTGTAAATAAAATGAAAATATATAT